CCATACACTTTAAAATGATGTATAATTGATTTCATGTAATCTATGATTTTTATATACACCTATATGTTTATAACTTTCTACTTGCAACTGTTGATATTCAAATAACTGATGGTAGGCAAAGATTTTTCGATTAAGAGTAATCAACAAGAGTTCCTGTTTTTATTTTCAGTTACATGCAAAATGATGCAATAGATATAGACTATAAAGTAAATGGGATTGATGCTTGTGTTTTTCACCACATCAGCCATAAACATAACTCCCCAATGATAATATTTTCTTAAGAGTCAGAAAAAAGAATTGAGGATAATAATATCGATTCATTTTATTTCATCAGGATCTTATTGGGTGATGCATACAACCTGTCATATTATAAAATCAAAATTATCATAAAGTTAACATACTGATAAGAAGTGAAGTGACGATTCGAATACATGTAATGAGATTGAAAATATTTAAAGGCAGTTTTAAATAGATATAATATGTAAGAGGAGATTCTAGATCATCAAACATAATAGTAAGATCAAAAAAATTAGGTGGTACGTAATGAAATAGTTGAACAAAAATCAATAGTAATTCAGAATAAAATGAGTCAGTCAGATCTGTTGATTCTTGTTACTCAGCATAATAGGTGTATATCAGTTCTTAGTCCAGATGTCCTGAGTAATATGTAAAGGATGTGATATAATATGATTACTAGTTTGAAGTTATTACTCTATAAAATTGTTCACGATATCAAAATCAATAACCGTGATCAACACTTAACCCTCTCTCGAAAAAGAGCACCTATCAAGTGTTAGCCTTTTACTTTTGCGAGGCTAGGTATGATAACCAAAAAATAATGTATCACTCGCTCAGTATAACACGCCCTTGGACTAACTGGTTCACGTTATCGAAGTCATAGGAGGCTATAACGATGATTCACATGAAGGATGTTCAAGAAGGTCATGAACCACTTGTTAAATCCCACTAACCAGTCTATTTCTCACCTCATCCAAGGCAGCTCGGTGAATAAATGAAAGCAACAACTCATGAGAGCGATGTTTAAATAACCATGATCACCACCTAATGTGATGACTAATAAAGCCTCCAGCCTCTTACAACCGATTTGAAAACACTATAAGATCGGTGGTATAAAGGCCTCTCGAGTTCCATTTGTATCCGCTTTTTAAGGAATCAAGGAGCGCCCATTTTACAGCAAAATCATATCTTCTTAAAAAAATACGGACATCTGTTTAAAAAATCAATATTTGCCTCCTTCTCTAAACTTAAGAAATCATATTGTTTACACACCTTAAGCATGTATTATCGTAAAATTTTGTAACCTGAGTCGATTCATTTTTATACTAATTAATGTGGTATGTTTGTACATACTATTAAATATGATTGAAACGTATAATCTACATTTTAATTTCATGAAAATCGATCCTATACCAATTTTCAATGTTCATAATATACAGATTTATTTCTGAAAATCGGAACTCATAAAATTTTTCAACCATTTTGTGTATAGTGTTGTAATAAAATGTTATTCAATTGTTATCAATAAGGGTTAGTTTCTTTTTAATGATACTACACTTTCATTACGTTTTTTTTAGTTTTTAAAATCGGATTTCTTAATAACTGTTTACTTTTTGATTCATGTGATTGGTCATTGTTGTTTTGTATTTAATAAAGAACAACTATGCTACTAGGTTTCGCATATTTTTGTTTCATTCTTATTTATTCTTAATGAGTAAAACTACATTCTCCTACACTGTTAAGCTCAACCCACGTCGATTTCACTGAGTACTAATAATCTTTTGGATTAACCAACTTTAGCTTAACTTCGATTTATTTTCACTGAGACCGAAATTTCAGCAGTCTATAGTTTAACGGTAATAATATACAATATATGTAACAATATAATTTTGTCAAGTGACTTACATTACTTCTTTAAAACTTTTGGTCAAATATCAATTTCCACTCGATTGTTTAACAAGCTCTCATCAGTACTCCTATGACTTAGAGGATAGGATAAATAAATTTGTATTTTGTCATTTAAATTCATCGACTATGTCTCATGATCGTTTGTTGCACATAGAAAACTAGTACAAAGTGTGAGCCTTCCCTCACAAGCATCAGGATATCAGTACAATGGCTTAAATGGTTTAGACTAGTCAGTATAGTTTGGCTTTATATTATCTCAACTCTTTGATATAAATTACATATAATTTCTTTTAGCTTACAGTTTATAAAAAACAGGCGAGCTATATGGATAAAACGATTGAATATAGTAATATTCTGTTATAAGCAGTTACCAAATGTTAAGCAAATGAGACGTAAATATTTTTCTCTACAAACATGTAATTATGACATGTTATTCTTTAACTGATAATAAAAATAATGTCCTAACCGATCATACGTCTTCAATGGAGTATTGTTTTTTAAATTAGAAAAATATTTGATTACTAGATTAATAAATTCATCTATCAAAACCGATCGCAATTGTTTATCGGTTAAAACTTAAACGACTTGATTATAGTGAGACAAAGTAGTAGTGTAGTGAATAAGAACACGAGTGGGGACAACTAAATGTATTCGAGCACGAATTTAGAGAACATCTCACTAAAATCTGAGAACCATATTGAAAATAGTTAATTTGCAAAATATCAATCCATTGTCTCAAACTTGACTGTTCCTTCGGCAGATATTAGTCCGTTGTCTCAGATTTCATTGTTCATACATTTCCATACCAACTGCTTTCTGTTCCTGTTCTTTCCTTCTCGATCTTCTACTGAAATATATTCCGTCCTTGACCAGCGTTATATACTACTTATGTGGAAATAAGTAGCTCACATCACAGTAGTATTAGTTAAAGGTTAAATTAAAAGTTGGTAAATCATTATGGATTTCAATGCTATAGTAGAATGATGGTTAAAACTTAATCTCAATTGTTTCCAATTAGACCAAACCAAAGTCCTAGATTATGCTTCATTAAAAAATTCATTTAGCTTCTATAAAGATGAGCAGAGTAAATCACTAAAAATCTCATGAAATTCCTAATTAACAAGATCTATTATCATTTTTATCAATAAGGATCTATATTTTCATTACTTTTACATTTTATTTGTCTATTTTTATTGTCTGTGTTTACGCTTCGTTTAATGATAACAATAATGATAATGAGGGTAATTCAGAAGACAGTTATCGCTAAACTATATTCGAACACAAACATCTTTCATCATCATGATAAAAATAAAATAAAAAAAATAATAATAATGAGAAAAATGATGTCAGTAACACGATATTATATATCAGTAACTATAAATGTAATAAAAATGTATAGGAATAATTCATTACTGCATTTCTTTTTGTTTCCGAGCTTATTAATATTTAAAATATCCTTAGTAATTTTACAAACAAAAGACAACATCAAAGAAACTGGTATTAAAAAGGAAGGAAGACTATGTCAGAAAAAGACAAAACTGTCATTCACTCTCAATCTAGGATATTATATGGATGGGTAGAACACATTAGGGAACAGTTCAAATGACCTCTAGCAACTCTCCAGTTACGCTTCTTTCTAACCGACTTGAATAGTTGATTGATACAAATTTACCAACTTCTAATGATGTCGAAAACGTTATGGGTAATATGAAACGTGAAAGAACACTAGGCTCTGGTCACTTAGATCTAAGCAAAGGTGGGAAATCGATCTATATGATATTCAAACTTCATCGATCGAGGTATTTAAAACATGTATTACATATGTCTAACCACCACGTATTTCGACGAACGACTAAACGAAATCGTCGCAACAGTCCATGAAGTTATTGACTGTTGGTCTGAGGCACATAAGTTGATTCAGAGTATCTGGTTAGGGTCCGCGTGATAACCGAGATCAGTGGTTAGAGAATTCGGACGAAATGACTCAGGATCAATTGTTAACATGTGAGTCTATCATGAATACGTTACATAACTAAGTTTTATAAACCAATTGGTTAATTTAAAATAAATGACTTGATGTATAACAAATCGTAATTATTTGTTATACAAAATATATATGATGCAATGGGGCATCAAGAATACTCCACAGAAACTATTATGTTTATTTGGAAGTACCTTCACCTGGTGGTATAATAGGAATGAGAAAAATTAAAGTTCTAGAATATCAAAAATTGTACTAATGTGTGAATTGATCGACTATTTATAAGTAGGCTTTTACATTCTCTTGTTGACCGTTTATTGTAACAATCATCTGCTCATTGATTTACACGTAGTGACCTTAAAAATAGCACAAATATTAATTGTTAAATAGGTAAGTAAATAAACTTTGTTGTTCACCTAGATTTGTTGTATAAAGTCTGTTAGACGGACTAGTCAAATTGATTTTTGAGTAGAGGAACATATTATGTAGACAGCAGTTAAAAATAAAAGAAACAATAAAAATGTGCAAAAAGTAATTTCAGAAGTGAAATATCGTTGTAATAATTAAGTTTGACTGTTGTTCAAAAATTAAGGAAGGAAATACTCATCTGAATGGAGGTGACAACAATCAGTAATTGTAACTCATTAGGGAAGGAAGGGTTTATATTCTTTGTCAACGTTGGACATACTAACTTGATGATTAAACTGATGTAGATATAATAGGTGTTGAACAGGGGATTCAACGGTGAGAAATGTAATATTAAGACCATTGTTATGAAGGTTCGTTAATGAATGTCAAGTAATTGGACAATCGTTGGTAAAATTGACTGTCTATACTGTTTTCTTTTAATGACTTAATATGGATAAAATAAACATGTATTTTTGCATATTACTATCGTTATCAATAATAAGTCAGTCAAACTTCCGTACTTGTTTGCCAGTCTGAAACCAACCTAAACAAGATCAAAAGCCATATCTATAAAATTTCTGTTGTATATCATCATAGATACTTTCTTTTCATATTCTCCTTAAATTTTGAATACTTATTCATTACTCTTCAGTCATTATTTCCCATTTTTTAGACGTGTACTGAAATGATTAGCTTAGAAGAAAAAGTTAAACTTACTTCCGAAGAAAAGATCGGATTAAAATCTTACATTGAACGTATGAATAGTGAATGCATGGAACTCAATGCTACATTGTTTGAAGAAGCGAACAGAATGGTAAGTGAAAAGAAACTGGATATATATTGTAATTTTTTTCGATGGTCATCTAGTTGAAATCGAAAAAAGGTTATTATTAATCACTCAGATAATGAGCATCGCTTAACGAATAACATTTGTCATAAGGGGTTTGTGGAGATTTTAGAAATTTTACAGATTGAAATCATGAGTCAATCGAAGCTAGACCACTATGGTAAACCAGAAAGCACTGGATGGCCGTTTCGTCCTAGTATGGGACCTCGCAGAAGTGCGCATCCAAAAGCCCCTTCTGATAATAATCATCTACTCACTAGTGACTGAATTCAAGAGATACTCATGGAGTCCTAGTGAAAAGCCGTTACCAATGGAGTTGGACCAGGTCTGTTGTGAAATATCAGCTCACTGAAGACAATGGTATACGGTGGCGCAACTTTGTGGATTGGTTGAATTTAGACATTAACAGCGTTGAATGCCGGCTCAGTGGTCTAGTTGGTTAAGCGCTTGGCGCGAGACTGATAGGTCCTGAGTTCGAATCTTGCGGGGTGCGGGATCATGGATGCGCACTGCTGAGGAGTCCCGTACTGGGACGAAACGGCCGTCCAATGCTTCCAGGTTTTCCATGGTGGTCTAGCTTTAATTGACTTATGATTTCAATCTATGGAATAACTTCTGATTTAAAGGAAGTTCTCTCATAACTTAAATATAATTGGTCATAGGTGAGAATGAATAATTACATTACTTAAGAAAAGAGAAGTCAATTAAATTGTAAACTTGAACTGAAAGATATAAAATTGATTCATATTTTATAAAGAGGTTTTAAACAGGACTCTCTGACAATATCTTAAATCAATTAATTGATAAATATTCCTTTGAAGTATACAGACAAATTCATTAATTCGTCATAAAGACCATCGATAATCCAAATGTAGTGAAAATAACAAAAGTCATATTTGATGATACAGACTATTGATTTTCGATTGCGGATAGCTGCTATAGAATCAAATAGTTAATAACTACAGTGTACAATTTCGACTACATAATGAAGTATTCCAGTCAAATAGGGGTCCTAGTATGTTGCAATATTAAGTTTAAAATGATATTTCCTATTGATAACTTTTTATTGATCGTCAATTTCAACGAACCATTTTAGTCTCGTGTACATAGTTTACTAAGATGATTCATTTATTCTAAGATTTACACAACGAATATCATTCCATTTACACTCACACACACAAACATATTACCATATTAGACAAAACCCATAAATTGCTATGTTTATTATTATTATTACTTTGTACAAAAATCTAGATCATATATAAGCGAACAATTAAATCCTCATCAAGCTTTATTCTAATATACAGTATATTAGAGTAAAGACTGATGAGCATCTAATCGAAAACACAATTGTTCGCTTATATATGTTGTTCTAAATCATAGTATGAAAAATCAACCAAAATGATCTATGAATCAATATCAATGATAACAATCCAGTTGGTAGTGTCAAATGCATATACATTGACACGTATCATATTCGTCATGTGAACAGTGGAGATAAGTGGATAAAATGAATACCAACTTTGATCTTCAGCTTAGATTTCAACTTAAACGATAACGATTGGAACGTTAAAAATGCTAAGAAACTAAGTATGTAAATATAAACAAAATGACTGAGAATGGTGAAGTCCAACTGAATTATGAACTAAATGGTAAAGTTGATGACTAAGTATTCATTCACAGTTAAATTAAGAAATTTGCTTTAAAAGCTGTGTAAATACGAAGACCTTTTTACCCACATATTGTGCTTCGTGTAAAAAGCAAGTTCAAGATTCGTTGGAACAACATACGGAATATAAGAGTTGGTCTTAAGTGATTCAGATTTGCCAATCTCATTCCTATAATCTACTATGTGTGGACAAATAGAGTTATGATTTCTTCGATCCTTCATGAATCATAAAACAGAGTATTCAGCGACTTTTAGAATATATTCCTTATTGATGTTATGTTTTTCTGCTTAAGCCAATCAGTTTACTGACGTGAATACTGTATTTGACATCCAGTCGATTGCCTATGCCAATTCCCACATGCCCACACCTCCAACGAGAAAGTAGGAAAGGCAGTTGAGTTGTCACAAGTACCTTTTCTACATTGAATGATAACTCATGATAATATGTGCAAAATATAAAACTACAAGGCATCGTAAATAATAAATCTCACTATGTATATAACTAGGAAATGTTTGACATAAAGCTGGACAACACAATTATGCTTAATAGACTGGAAATTAAAAACAGGAACAGATATTGAATCAAAAGATACACTACAATATGAACCTGACCATATAAAAGTGCCGTAAATCAAGTGTTCTGCTTAAAACTAATTGAACATACGTGAACTGATTCGTCGGAGAATAACTTACCAAATGTTTTATTTTCTTTTTTTGTCCTTTCATAACATTTAGTACCGATAATTAGTTTGTAAGATAGTAAAGAAATTACAAGTCATAAACATATGACATAATTAAATTACTTGTTTTCGGCCTGAGAAGTTATGGTAGATTGACTGATAAACAATAAGTAAATGAAATAATCCAACTGCTACAAGTGAGGATAATAAGTAGTAATTATGAGTCCAATTACACTGAATAACAGGTAGTTATTACCATTATTCTGACTTATTTTTTGAATATATCTAATATGGTATTTAACAGACCAATACACCACATTTTTTAGTGGGCAAGACATGAGCAGTAGTATATGACACCTAAGAACACCTGTGATCGTTACTTGTTGACACTTCAGAACTCAGTCGTGATGGATCAGGAAAGTAATAGCGGAAATATTTGCTTTTAATTCTAATGGTTCTACTGATTTGCCATTTTATAAACTCAAAACTAACCATTCATTTACTCTGTTTATCAAAAGGTCCATGAAGCCTTATCTAAGAACATTATGCCGTTAGACAAGCCAAAGAGAAAATTCAAGAAAATGATGTAATCTTATTCATTATATAGTTGGGTTTGAATTTAATATGTGTAAATCTTGTAGAAAATTGACACAATTGGTTAGTAAAAATAAAATATTGAAATACTATGTAGTCGGTAATGCTGACTGACTCATAGCTATCCATGAAAATAAGAGGATATTATCACTAACCTAAATGACGTGATATCATGATTTAACATTATCATGAAGTTACGGTCCAGTGCTCTACAAAATTAACGCTTAGTTACTGTGTTGCAATTTTTAGCCTCTCTGAACCTGTTTTCGTTGAAGTGAACAGGAAGTGTCTTTCCTTCTAAAATTGCTATACAATTAGTTGTTATTCACGGAGCACAATTAATGATGCTTGCCGGTCGGAGGGATTTATGCACTTTTCATCCTGCTATCAAAACACCACTCGGAATTAGTCATTTACAATAGATTAAATAGAACAAGAACAAAGATTTATGCAGAATAATATGAATTCATTTTATAAAGGGAACTATGTGTACACAATAAATTAGTTTGTAATTCTGGAAGTGTTAAACTTCAGGGATAGGGAATGTTGAGCAAACTGTATAGAACATTATAGAATAAGCGAAATATGTCTTTAGAAAGACAATGAGTTGATAGATCTGAATGAAATTTTAAATTGATACTGTACTTTTGGTTAAAAAATAAGAGAAATAAAAAATTAAATATGAATTTGTTGTAGTACAATAATAATATTCTACTTTGAATTATGAATTATTCTAATAAATATGGTTCCATTCTAGTCTGTTTGTGATCAAAATAAGGCTTGAATTCACCACACAATTCATTACGTCTCAAAATGGTATTCTGTCACCAAAATGAAATCAATTGTTAATAGGATTTGAATTTTCGGAATTTTATTTTTATAACCACATCGACTATGATATTGATGTGTTAATGTTGTTTCCATATAAATGATGGTTTTAGCTCTACAGATCATTAAGACTTGGTGGCCCAGTATCTGACTCCAGTTTGATCGTAGAAAGACGCTATGAACATAAATCTCCCATTTAATTCCATATATCACCTAGCTTAATCCGATTTGATCAAGTTTGACTCGGTATTTATAGTCAGACCAAAAATAAGTTACAGACATGTGATGAATAGGATATACAATAAAGACACATACGCTCATATAAGAACAGTCACGGTTAGTAAGCAAATAGTCGACAAGGTCAAAATGTGACTTGTAGAGATGAATAAATCAGTCCATCCAGAAGCTAGAATAACCTACATGAGCTTGACATGGGACCAGACACGACAAGAAAACCATAAGGTGCTCAAATCGGTTATTTTATTTGAGTTACGGTGGTAACACTAATATTTATAAAATATCTAAGTACATCAAGTTGATTTCAAAGTAGAATAAGGCGTATGCTTTAATTTTCACTGTTACTGATCCCCAATTAACGTGAAAATGCGATTAAACGTACTAACGATGATATATGAGACGCTAATATTAAGTATCAACATTTAATCATTTCCATTTGACGAAGCAAACTCTAAGAAAATTTAATGTAAAAGGCAAACAAGAAAACATAGGTTCAACTTCCTCTGAATGTCATATAATATAAAAATGGTTTCATCACCAACGACAGATTATTCTTTTATTTATTTAGATCATAAAGTTAAGTGGCTTTATTTTTTATTGACAAGGTTTAAAATTATACGTCAAATTTATACGGTAAATGTTTTGTGTGAAAAACATCTCAGTTTATCATAACCAACTGAACTCTAAAATCACAGTCGAATTTTCAATAAAATGTATGTTTGATGATTATAGATACAATTTATTTACAAAAATAAATTATGTTTATACCATTACCATGTCCATATCAATATCTACTTGAGCACAAGCTTGTTATTGTACTGTTATTTAAACAAGTATAATGGGTCTTGTGCATTGCACTAATGGTTCATTCTGTTTTTTTTTTTTAAATTAAAAAATATCTCCATATGTCATAGATTTTTTTTCTTTTGAAAATAATTTCAATTATAGATACTTCAATCGGAAGTTCGTGCATTAAAATTGTTGGTTGCTGAATTATCATCAAGTATAACAAATCAAAAGATTAGAAACTCTTTATATAATACAAGGTTAGTTTCTTATTTTCGTTATATATGTATACTATAGTATCTGGCATTAACAGAGAGTATCTACAAAGTAGAAATTTTTATGGTGAAACAATAATTTATGGAGATCTTTGAGTGACGCTAAAGTGACCTTGAGGATACCCACCGATCAACTAGGACTTAAGGTTATGAACCGGTGCGAGGAATTACAATTATGATTTACAGTTGAAGTTAGTGTTAGGAAATAAATTTTGTGTTTTTATCACGAACTGACATCAACTAAAATACCAAGACGCTATTTAGCCAAACGGATGAATGAATTTTGCGCAAATATCTAAAACGTGTTATCCTAAATCTGATTGGTTCGTTCATAAATTATAGTTTCGCCACATTTATTTCATAAACTAAAACCTGTACCTTTCAAAATACCACTGTTAGAGATAGTGTCTTTATAGTCACCCCTTCTTATGTAATCAGCAAGAAGATCTTTCATTTTAATAAGAAAATAAATACATAAATATCCATACCAGTAATCAATTAAAGAAGTTTATCTATGAAAAACAGAAGATAATAATAAACTTTGTTATCAAGTGTATTTATTTTATAAACAACATATTGTTCTAGAATCGCATGATATGTTTACTACTTCAATATTCAAATACGTTTATTCTATCAATTAAGTGTAAATTAAACGTTGTGTTTCGTGTTGACTTTTTTATCACACAAAAATATAACATTCATTTTGTGTTGGTGTCTATGATGTAAATCGTAACGTACATATATATACACTAAACTATGGCTTCCTTGTGTCTGTAAGCCAAATACTTATAAATTTACTACAGTATCTTTATTAAAGATATTACTTTTCACAATTTTCAATATAAAGGTCAACACTCTTCCACGATCGATTGTCTTATTTTTTTTAATAAAAACCTTAATAAACAGTGTTTCTCATCCCATTACTGATTGAGATTAACCTATAAAAATTAAGTGATTTGTAGAAATTGTCACTTGACAATTACAAGAATTAAAATTTTATAACTTTTTGGTAAAAATAAGAGCAGTCAAAACGAAATATATGTAAGTTTGAAACAACTTAAAGAGCAGATTTTATGTGTGTGTTTTAGCCCCGGATGACAACTTGAAGAACGGTCGTTTGAATTCCTATATCACTCTAATTAATTATCAATTTGACATGAAACAAGGCTTAACCAAACGCATTTTTCATCTTTTTATGAATGTCTAAATGAGTGTTTTTGCACTAGCTGAAAAAGTGTTGGAAAAAGAAGCAGAGTATGTAACTTTTTCATCCTACTCGTAGCCTTTCCATCAGTTCTCATTCATGATTCCATGTAGAATTGAACCCATGGCCTTTGTGACTCGAGGTGATCAGTACTTACTTAGATGTCTAACCTAAAGCCAGTAGTATACATTCGTAGCTTCAGTCAATATGTGATATAGCACTATCCTCTGTCTCATTATCTATGTACATCTGTCCCATACGCACTTTGATTGTCTTTACTAGTTGTAAATTTCTGTTAAAACGTTCGAAGATTCATCTGGAAGACAATCACTAATGAACAATGGATTATTAATTACAAAAGGTGTTCAGTAAGGTGTGGATAATTTAAAATTATTTGTAACCATGAACTGATGATCACCTTATGTGAGACTAGAGTAGTATGACAACTTAATATAAGTTAGGAATCCATACCGTTGTGTTTCCCTCATTGTTCTAGGTGTAACATACCACATATCTTCAATATGATTGATTTGACATTTTTAATATGGAGCCGTGGGTACGGACTGATGAGAAATCGTTTCACTTGTTTGTGATTATTATGTTAGGTGTAAAGTGTATTGTTATGATTTTAATTTGGGATGATTTTAAACCTGTGCTAAGTTTTGTGTCCTTGAATGGAAAAATTAGAGAGCAGCGTATTTATCGATCGATTCAATGACACGTAAACCAGTACGGAAGGCCTAGAGTCTCGATTGGTCCCGTTTCCCTGTCTAGCCCAGTCAGTTGAGTCCAGAACACAAGTCACATCCTCTGAGGTATGAATCATTATATTTCAAACATACTTTGTTTATATACCAATCAAGCATACCACATCGTACCATAAAAAAATGAAACAACATTTTGTACAATATTCAACAAGTGAACAGATATCGACCAATAGGAAATGTACATTTAACGTCCAAGGACACCATTGGACTTAACATGATAATTATTGGTCTAATCCTCCGCATCCACAACATGTATACAACTAATTACTTTCAGTATAAGCATGTGATAACGGAAAAAAGTGAGAATAAACGAAAGTTAGAAGTATAAATCATTGGATCTCAAATCAATGGTCCAAAGGTAGTATAATTCCTGAAAAGCCTGAAAGTTTAACACTTAGTGGTATATTGGGTTTGTATTATTGAAGCGATCCATAAACTTCTTTTATTAATAATTATCCAAGTGTCTTGACACTTCCCAACCGTTGCTGCTACCTTGACGTGGTGGTTCGACTTACCTATCGTAATGAACCAATCGATCTATAATGGCTGGAACAACCGTTTCTCAAGGTCCCACCGAGCCAGAAAGGTCGATTGAAGAGCGGCAAGAGTAAAAGCAGCAAAAACAAGGTACGAAGGCGAATTCGTACTGCTGAATGCACAAAGGGGTGACAGCAGTAAGGGGTTTCCTTTAGCCAATCAGCATAAAAGTGGTGTTGCTTTCATACAAAGAGGGGTGGAGTTAGGACAGGTCGACCCTAAAAATACACACCTCGCCTTATCCCACGGATATCCGACTCCGGTAGTAAGGTCTCAACAAATACGGAGCAATACGGAAATTACTCACAAAATGGTCGTGTATGACCGACTTCGTCAGTTGTAACAGGGGCATTGTGGTCACGCTCTCAGTCCCCTAAGACCAACTCTAATCCAATTTCCTATTCAGGTTCTTCCTGAAGAACCCTTCCACAGTGTGGGAAACCAGGAAGTGATAACTGACCTCATACTTCCAACAGCACTCAATACCACTGTATTCATAACCAACCTCCCTCTTCAATTCCTACTATTCCTCCAACGTCGACTTTCAACTATTTTGACTTCCTCCTCAAGTGTCACCGTGGCCAACGATTCTAGTGCTTAAAACACTGTTCCAGATCTACTGAAACCTCGCTCCAAACTACACATTGGAGCCTTCAACGTACACGCCCTATGTCAAATCGGTCAGCAGGCCTCCTTGGTTAAAACCCTACAATCTCGTACCATTGATGTATGCTATGTCTCCAAAACACACATACAGGATCCTAGTATGGCCATTCACTTGATCTCACCTCGCCGAAACAGAGAGCCGATGAGATACACCCTCTGTGTATCTGGTGACCCGATGGCTAGTTCCCGTGGTCTGGTGGGTGTAGGCATAGCACTAAGTATGAGGGCGGAACAAACACTATTAGAATGGATCCCTGTTAACAATCACCTATGTGCTGTTCGGCTAAATGGCTTTGTGAGAACTCGGAAGGATAAGGACACGCGTTGTTGCCTTTTCGTCGATTCTGCCCACGCTCTCACTCACTGCAGTCCGAATGGAGTGAAAGATTACTTTTACAGAAAGCTCTCTGAACTTCTTCAGAAAGCTAAACGCTCAGACATAGTACTCGTAAACAGTGACTTTAATGCCTAAGTAGTTAGCTTAAACCAAGCAGAAAGACAATTAGATGGGCGTTATAGTTTTCCGGTTCAGTGAACAGATAATGGTGACCAACTGTTGTTTAAGTTTAGCAAGCAGTAATTTTAAGTATAAGGAGAGACATCGTGTAACATGGCGAACCCTCGCACAAAACCAACGATGGACTCAAATAGACCATATTGCCATGAATCATCGTTGTAGAAGGTCGGTAAAAGATTGTCGCTCAATCTGGAATACCCGCTTGAACTCCGACCATGATCTAATAAGGGCACGTATCTGCTTGCGCCTTACTGGTTGCAAAAAAGCTACACTAAAAAGACCCGTCAGAATTGAGTTGAGTAATGAGAAAACCAAAAGTAGGTTACGGGAACGACTGAGGTCACACTTAGGTAGTTCTGAAAACGAGGCTTCTTCTAAATCTATTGCGCTGATGGATTCTCGTAAACTCATCTCAATAGGCTCTGAACACGACGAAGAGCGGAAACAAATCAGATCTAGGTTAAGCAAAAGTCTAAGGAACGACCGTGAGCTGTGGTGGTCAACGAAAGCGAAAGAGATGGACAAGGCGTTGGCTGTAGGTAACACTAGATGGCTCTACAGACTGAATTAACTACTTCTATGAATCCGGTGTTCGTCTTGTTGTGTTTATGAGGTATGGCAACTTGGACCTGTGCACATATATGCCTGGTCCTACGTTGTAGCTGACTGACTGATGTTGACACTTTAAATATGCATATAACTATATTAAAATAAAATTTATTTCCCCGATACCTATCAGTAGATGAAAAAGTAATGTTTATACAATAACTTTCAAGGTAATTTTCGCTTTAGTTAAGCTTTTTAATATGTATCAATTAAAGTTATCTTATCACAACTAAAATGTTTAAAAAACAAAAACCAATCATAAGAAATGTGATGCCCATTTTAAAAATTTTTATGGTTCTAATACAAATATTACTAAATGAATAAACTTACAACAATGAAAGTACACATTCTTAATGTTGTCGATATACAGAACTGAATGTCTAGATTGATTGAGAAAAAATTATAACTATGTACTCGAAAATCTTATTAGATAGTACTATAATTTAGATTAGATGACTTCATGTTCAAAATATTATTTATCCTTAGAATATTGTTACATGTTGTTATAGGTATGGATAAATATGTGTCTAATGAACCATTATCAACAAAGTTCTCATCGCGTATATGAATCAATAATCAAATCAATAGTCTCATATATACTGTTAGTATTAGGGTGGATATTATTATTATTATTATTATTGATTATTATTATTATGGTAATGAGTACTTAGTACAAAAGACAGAAAAAATTGAAATGATCGCAAGTACATAGGCAGGTATTGTTGTCTAACAAACCTTGAAACTTAGAATAAAGTACATAACTGGAAAAATAAATCCAATTAACATCCATCAGCAGTCACATTTGTGGTTAACACTGTTGATAATATTTACACAAACTACTATTGGTATTATTCCATTCGTTATAATATTCCTTGTTTTTTTTAGTATTTAAGTTCAAAACCTTTAATAATAAAACGAGGAACGAAACAATGGCTCATAGTGCAAATCGATGAATTAATCAAGCGGTATAAAACAACATAGTAATTAGGATGATTATAGAAAAACAAGTGATTAAATAATCATGATAGTTTATATTATGGATTGATCCCAGGTAGACAAATAGGAAGGTTTAGACAGCCAATTCATTCTAGTGAGAGCCGGCTCATCTGGGCTCACTTACAACCAAGTTAAGAATCATATGTAATGAATAAGCGCTTCAAAATTAATAGTAAGTTTCTGGTTACGAAAAATGTTTGTGCTATCCATAAATGAAAATAGAATTGAATATTAACCTCTCACGTGTTCTTATAGGTAATAGTTCTGCCAACTACAGTGGACTGATATTGCCTGGGGAATTATCAATTGATATGACACAGTTGATTAGTATTGTACAGTTAGTGGGCTGAATAAAAGACGAACTACATCTTCTCGTTAGTTATTAGCTAAATTTGGTGGAAACAGAACTCATTAAAGCTAGATTGTGGCTGGCGTCGGAATGCAGAGCAAGAGTTTCATACTATTTGAAACTTGTCAGCAGGATGCAACTTACTTCCTACCTCTTGAACAAGTCAGTGTCCAGCTAAACTCTGTAGCTCAGTGGATAACTGGTTAGGGTTTGAAGTAAGAGGTGCTGGGTTTGAGTAACAGTTCGAACCTCAACACTGGGATCCAGGTATAACCAGTAAGCATCCAAACTTGTCATGAATCAAATGTTTCCAAACCTCAGTAAAGTGACCGCTACTCTCCTGTCAGAGAAAACCATACTCATTAACCACACAACAGTCAGTCAACCTATCGATCACTCGGATATTAACACGATATCACAATAAGAACAATGTTATTAAGGCATATTTATCAAACGAGACAAATGTACTAGTTTACAGAAAACGAAGAGATGAATTTGAAGTGCGAAACTGTAAAATGATAAGAAATAGTAAGGAGGACATATATTAGAAAATCATGTTCGGTTATAAAATTATTCACAGATCACATGAATAGTGTGATGTTAGTTTTGAATAGATTACAAACGCATTACCACCAATGATGATAATGGTTATGATTAGGATACGACTGAATATAAACAAACATCAAGAAATTTCATGTGCAGTATCAAATTTAAAACAAATAAGGATGTTATATATATATATGTTAAGAGAATACTCTACCGGCCCGATATCTGGTATCAGATCGTACGATGAGTGTTATCGAAATATACGTGCCTCCAATGGAATAAGACAACTAAATATGAGGCTGATTTCGGAACACGTATATTTCGTACACTCATTGATCTGAACAGACAATCAAGGAGAAGTGTAGAGAAGAGAAACGAAGTGACGCGCAGTGGAGAAGGCGAGTGAGCTAACTCGATTTAACAAGGCGTGATTCACTGAATGACACGGCCAGAGTTTGACGTGAAAAGAATAAATAAATAAACCTATCTAGAATAATCCATGTCGGTTTAACATAGTAACAAACTTCACAACACCATGAACGGAATATGATCCAGTAAATGAGAGATTGCCTTATTGACACGTCTCGATTTATGGTTGAACTAGAGGAAATCGAATGAATTAGAACGTCTTTTTCCGAGCGAGCATGTAAGAAACATTTTAACTGAAACCAAGTAGTCAGCTCGAAATATAGGGTAGGAACCACGTAACTTGAGGGATTGATCCATTACAATTCCACTAGCGTTATTTACGGCAGTCAGTATTTATAGACTACTAGGAAAATATCTTTAGTATGATATGCTTCTCTTGATGTCAATTTACAATAAAACACTTTCTGTAAGGACTTGTCAACTTCTAAGAAAATGATGCTCAGACCTAAAATATACAAGGATTCTTCAAAACATCAAACAGAATGCACCAAAATGTGATAATTATTAAATGAATTAGATTTTAATTTTGGATAAATTAGAGTCCTAGTGTAGTAGAACTAACTAGATTAAGCAGAAATTCAGTCATTATGGAAATTTTGGCGGTGGTATTAAAGTTGAATTGTGAAGATAGAACCTCAGGATTAGTAGACAGACTTCGTAAGTATGTTGAAACAAGTGATAAATCTCTTCTGCCTTTTAAGTAGATTCAACTATACGACATCAGAATACAATTCAAATATTATTTGTGGGTAAAATAAGTCATAAACATCGACATGATCACTAACATCAGCTCGCAGAAAACATTCCAAATATGTTTAGGAGTTATGCAGTAGTTTAGTTACAAAATACACCATCGAAAATATCGAACGAAAGTATATGCTAGATACTATATTCTATTATCAATTATTTTATCTAAAATGTTGTAGTTGGTTCCATACTGTACTAGTCTGAAATTACGCCTTTGAAAACAGTGAATACACCCACGCAAACGTCTACTTTTTTGGATGGGTGTGTAGTAGGACATTCAAGTCACGATCAGCAATATTATAATTCTACTAATTATTTTGCGCCCTTTTATATGACTATCTTTTAACATTAAATTTACGGACTGCATAAACACATGACTTATAATATAACTTATTGATTATTATGTCAATCCGCACACACGTCATACAATATGATCGTTACACAACATGATGCATATTTCTTGCAATCTCTGTAATTTATATGTGTGGCCTAACGGGTTAACGTCTGAAATATATCTATCCCCAAAACATTTCTTGTCAAATTTTTGATACTGAGCTGTCACGTGTATTTGATTATACAAAGGGTTTAATCTAGGAAGTGCACGGAATTGTCAGGAACTAGAACTAACTGGATTTATACTGCATCACAATACGTAACACAATACACGGCAAATAACTAATGTAAAAAAATTTAGATTGCAACAGGACAGAAACCAACAGTTTCAAAAGATTACTGATGAAAATTTTCTAGAAGAAGAAAGCTCATGAAGAAATGATATGAAATCTTAATTAGAGTTAGGGTGCATTTCACCCTGAAAAAACAGCATCTCAATATAAATTTCCAATTAATATTTTATGTCACCGTATAATTAGTTAGATCTTTTTTTGCATTTTTTGCCATACAGGATGAAATACGATAATATAGCTTGTAATAAATCACCTGAAATTCATCGTAAATTGGGTACAGGTAATCTTTTGGAACAGAGACAAAATAATGCTAAATATGGTGGATTAGAACAATTCAATAGACGTGATCTCTTAACAGCAATGATTACACACAGACCATGTAAAAATAATTTAGATGTTGATACATTTGAAGTAAATGGATAAATTCTTCTCTATTAATACCTACTTTTTCTTACGATTATTTATTCTCAAGTTCAGTTATAAGTTTTACAATAAATTTTAATAATTTATTGGTTCTCTTGAATGTTTATAATTCACTTTGTTTAAACTGTTTAATAATCCCAAAGTAAAGTCAAAACTGTATCTGCTTCATTTTGTATTTTTGTGATTGTCTAGAATATAATCAGTATAGAAAATAAATATAACTGTCTCACACCAGACACGGATTGGACCCCACTGGTAAAGACTTCTCATTAGAACTCCAGGAATTCCATCTTAAAGCTAGTCACTAGTAGGCATATGAGTATTATTAGTAAGGCGAGCTCTAGTGAGAAGCCGTGATCGGTGGAGTCCGATCCGTGTTTGGTGGAAACAGTTATCCACATCAGAGAGTGGATGAAGGACTACGCAAGATCTTAGATAGACTGAAGTTAGATATTAACACCGTTGGATTCTGGCTCGGTGGTCTAGAGGTTAAGCGTTCGTGCGCGTGACCGAAGGTTCTGGGTTTGAACCACGCATGTGGGATCGTGGGTGCGAACTGCTGAGTACGGTACTAGGACAGAATGGCCGTCCACCGCTTCCAGGTTTTCAATGTTGGTCTAGCTTATATCAATTCATGAATTCAACTGTTAAAAATATTTTGTTCTGAATACCGTTGATATTTACCAATAGTTCTTAGGTGTTATCATTTTGGAATGAATTAATAATTTGCAAAATGCGGAAGTGAAATCATTATTATTTGATAATTTGAATAAAACACTTTTTAGACATTCTGCAATACAAACTTACATCACTGATCCAAAAAAGTACTGGATAAATTTTTCGTCTCATCTTCTAATCTCATGATGAATCACTACTACGAGTTCTTAAAACAGGACCAAGACATTTGTTATTATTATATGGTTTTTTACTGATATAAGATGATAAACAATTATATAAGTGCATTATCTCTTTCAATAATTACTGGCAGATCGTACTGTTCAAATAGCGATAGTAAAATTAACTTATTTTTAAATACAAATTGTTACTTAAATGATGATGATGGTCAATTAACCATATGTAATCAATATACGAGTAATGATATACTCTGGATTACATATAATAGAGAATTACTTTTGAAGAAATCAAAATATCACATCTTCACAAGTATAAATCTCTCACATCATCCTCTGTACTAAGATTCCTATGCTTGATCAAGAACCAATATGATACTGTCATAAAACATAATATTAAGTTGTGATAAATGTATCATGTTTATGTCGTAAAACTAGACTGCATTTTCACCATACACTAAAAATGATGTATTCATTATATGTTTTCAAACTGTAACAAAGTCATCAGAATCATCACATTGAATTTTCTATATTAATTATGTATACAAGTGATTTATCACAGTTCTGGATAGTAATCTGTTCTTTTATAGGAAATTATCAGCTGTAACACACGATTTGGCTACTCAGTGATAAACCAGTTTTTAGTAATAAAATACCAATAAATAACTCCACAAATTAATAGTGGTTATGGATTTTAGCTAGCATGAGTTTAAATAGACCAGAGCAACAAATCAAAATATTTGGCACAATAAAAACAAAACAGATAGTATTAGTATCATGCCATTTACGTCAAAGGTGAGATAATTTATTTGAATGAGTGAAAGAAATCTGATGTTTGTTATGAGAAACAGTAAAAATTTGTATGTGTGACTAATGGTGTGAAATTTAAACAGATTAAATGTGCTTATTTAGACAAATAGTGCAATTTGTATGAACAGTAAGGCCTTCAATTCTCTCCAAACATATCACGGTTTAGAAATATATGGAAAAAGTCAGATACTTTTATCAATATAGTTTCAAGAATCTTGAATTATTCTGGCATTTTTAATATTGATGTAGAAAAGTACTGTTGATAACATCCTGTCTAAAAT